GTGTGTGTGTGTGTGTGTGTGTGTGTGTGTGTGTGTGTGTGTGTGTGTGTGTGTGTGTGTGTGTGTGTGTGTGTGTGTGTGTGCGCTTAGTAGGAGAGTCCCTGCTGTAGGTCTTGAACTGCAGTTAATGTAACACTGATAGGAACCCGCTGTGCTACTTTGCAGCCCACACACTTGTAAAGTTTCTCAATGATTGTTTATGGAGTTGAGATAAAATTATATCTGGTCTTTTTTTTTCCTCATTTGTCATGTCTACAGATAAACCGTGAAGCCGTTGTGTGAAAACGTTAGCATGATCATAGTTCCGATCATATATTGTTTAAATGTTTAAACACGCACACTTAACAGCCTGCACTTACGAGCACAGGTAGGTACATACTGTGATATATTTGTCATGTCATGATTTGAAATCTAAATCATTTAGACCTGACCAGTAGCTTCTAAAAAAATAAAAAAAACCCCAAACAACAACAAAGAAACTGCCCTCTCCCCATTACTTACTAATTGGTGGTTTTTGATCTATACTTGAATGTGGTTTGGGTCACCGCCTCAGCTTCATTGTTTTATGTGGTCAGAGGGGCTGCAGGTACAATGTTTTTATTTTTTGTATGTTAGACTGTTAGGGTTAGTACTGAAGTGTTTCATGTTTCCTACATGAAATGGAATTAGAAAACAAGGAGAGCTTGGAGCTGAGTCTGCAGTTTTGTGCCAGATACTGTTATTTCGATTATTTCCATATCATTGCATATAAGTTTTGCACACCATATTCACACCAGAATATTACCGTGTCATGTGTTGGGAACCTGCAGCTTTGTGTTTTGCTAACTATTACATATCTGTCTGTATCTACAGTTGATATTCGAGAAATCAAGGAGATCCGTTCTGGACAGAAGTCTCGGGACTTTGATCGCTATGTGGAGGACTCGGCAGCACGGCTCGATCAGGCCCACTGCTTTGTTATTCTGTACGGCACAGAGTTTCGCCTTAAATCACTCAGCCTGGCAGGTATGCTCAGAGAAGGACTGCTTACACATTGACAAGAAGTAGCCTGTTACCATTGTACCTCAATAAGATCATTAGTACCATGGATAAATCAAATCTTCACATTTTGTTTGTTGCTAGGCTTCTTGTATTTTTAGCCTGTGACAGAATTGAGTTATTTAGATCAGCTGCTTTTGCTACAGCAACATCTGATGAAGAGATGACCATGTGGGTGCAAGGGTTAACCTCGCTTGTGACTGACACATTGAAGTCTCCAACACCTCTTCAGATCGAGCGGTAAATCTGAACTCAAAGTTTGTGTAAATAGACGGCATTATCTGTTTTCTGTATGCAATAAATCGCTTAAGTCTTTCTTTCTTTTCCTTAATTTTAAGGTGGTTACGTAAGCAGTTCTACGCAGTCGATCGCAACAGAGAAGACAGGTAACTAAACTCGGTCAAAGGATATCAGCTGCAGAGTTAATCAGATCGCCCTCACAAGAAATGGATGTTATTAGATGTAACTCAATTGTTTGCTACACCAGTTGTGTGCCCTTTCATCTAAGAGCACATAGACTTGCTGCAACTGGCTGGTAGGTGTCTTTGAGAGAGCTCAGTTGAGGTGTAGTAAGGGAACTAACCCCTCAGCCGCACACCAACAACTCTTCCTGCAGCAGGAAACAGACTGCAGAGAATGGAGAGGAGATGTACAGAGATGTTTGTCTGTTACATCCCTGACAGGCCTTTGTTACTGTGTGTGCGCCATGTATTGTCGTTTCTGGCCAAAATTCCAAGCTGTGTAGCAGAAGTGAAGCCCAAACCACTCAACAGAACATGCAGGGTGTCTGTTTACAAGGTTTCAGCCCATCTGTAAACTCAAAATGGCATTTCTGCCTCACAATAGTATCTACAAGTAGAAGTGTTTGCACATGTTGCACATGCTTATCCGTGTTTGTTTTATTTTTCAACAAAACGTGTTTAGGATATCCTGTAAGGATCTGAAGAGCATGCTGAGCCAGGTCAACTACAGGGTGCCCAACATGAGGTTCCTCCGAGAGAAACTTCCGGTAACCTCTTGCTGCTTACTTTCCTTATCACAAACCTCCTTCCCACTCCATCTCCCCGCCAACTTCCCTTTCACGATGATGTTGTTTGAGGCTAAAGATTTATGATTTGCCGTTAACAGTCATTTCAGTTTTCTTTCTGATTCTCTGCTTCTTTTATAGGACTCGGAGATGAGGAATGGAGATGTGTCCTTCAGCCAGTTTGCGCAGCTTTATCGTAGTCTCATGTTTGATGCCCAGAAAAACGTAAGTGCAGTCTTTTTATGTATCCACAGATAGTCCCTGTGCTTTCATCCCCCTAGCACCCCATCTGATGCTCTGCCAAGGCTCACTTCATCTCCCATCTGTCCGTTCTCAAATGGCTTCAAGATCAATATGCACCAGCTAAAAACCCACCAAACCTCTCTGGTGGAGGCCATTAGGACACACAAACACACACACACAGATAAGAAGGCAGGCAAGCAGGGGTCAGATAAAATGGATAACCTCAGTGCCCTCCCCCACCTCACAGGATGTCTAACACTGAAAGTGCAGCGCTTTGATTAATTACTTTAAATGTTTTTTGTCTCTTTACTATCTTTTAGATGGAAATCCCATTTCTACAAAGGTAGGCATACAAAACGCACACACATAGAGTGATGTTTTCTCTTGCATCACGGTTGTTTGCTGAAATTAACCAGTACTTTTTCTATCAGGTTCATTGATAGACCAGAACAGAGGATTTCCCTGGAGGACTTCAAGAGCTTCCTCTTGGAGTCTCAAAAGGTATTCTCTCGGTTGTTGGACATTTACATACTTTATTGGCGATTTGTTTTGTTTCCATGCTCTAATGCATGTTTGTGTTTGCTGTTGCAGGAGATGTGGGCCACAGATAACAACAAAGTGCAAGAGTTTATGTTCGGCTACCTGAAAGACCCCCTGAGGGAAGTGGAGCAGCCTTATTTCCAGCAAGACGAGGTATGCACACCTCGATGCCCCGCTCTTTCTTTTCCCCCCTTTTCTCACTTGTGTTCTTGTTTTGTTTTTTTTCTGGGTCTTCGCTCACTAACGGAAAAATGTACCATGTTTTCATAGGTTATGTTTTCCGATTTCCCCCCTGTGTTGTTAGTGTGGGAGGGAGATGCTCAGAAATTAACATGACTGGCCATGATCTTGGCCCTGAAGCACCTCCTCCTACACAGATATAAAAGGTTATTGAGTATAGTGCGGCATGACAGTTCTGCAGAAAGCGAAGGATGATTTTTGTGGTCACCGTAAAGTCATGAATAAAAGAGGAAAGTGGGACAAGCGAGCCTGCAGGAGGTGATGCTGTGTCTTCGTGCCAGAGGATGTTAGGTCACTGGTGCCCAGGCCTTGATTATGTGCAAAGAAAAGCCCATGAATAGTTAAAAAAAAATAGATACTTTATTTTAAATATTATCACTACATGGAAATTATTATAGTTGAAGTTTAATGGGGGATCTGATATGTACAAATCCTACTCTAATGTGATGTTTTTGTTTGCTGATTATGGAATCCAATGTCATTATGTGTTTAATACACAAGTTAAATCTAAGAATCTGGATTAAGCAATTATGACAATAATTATGACATTTTGAACCCCACATGTTCCCCAGATGTTCCATCTCAGTTTTTCTTAGTTTTTGTAATTTATTCATGTTGGCAGTTGTGCGTGGTCGGTGATTTAACAGTGTTTTTTTTTTAGAAGCATTCATATTATTTTGACATGAAACATTTATCTTAGTACTTTATCTTGTACTTTTCCTACTTGTTAGCATGTTAGCATGTGTACAAGTTGACTGCCCTGTGGTTTAGAGCAGCGGTCCCCAACCCCCGGGCCTCGGACCGGTACCGGTCCGTGAGTCGTTTGGTACCGGGCAGCGAGAGTAGAGGCTCAGGTGTGAAATGCATGGTTTTCAGGGTTTTTTGTTATCGTTTTTATTGTTAACTCGGTTTTCCTGGGTCTTTTCACGTGTGTTATGAATAAATCTTATTTTTTTCGGCACCGGTACTAGTTTCATTTTGTTGTATTTTTCCGCGACACCTTAAAGGCCGGTCCGTGAAAATATTGTCGGGCATAAACCGGTCCGTGGCGCAAAAAAGGTTGGAGACCGCTGGTTTAGAGCATTTGTGTTGTTTAAGCATGTGGAAATGTGCCAGAAAAATGTATATTTGCAAGGTGTACCTGCTTACAGGATAGATGGGATCGTGGAGTGAAATGTTTAGGTTTTGTATTTGTTTTGTTTTTTTACTTTATATCTTGGAATTTAGAATTATATTGAAACCAAGATAGACCTTTTCACCAGTAACATAAAAATAACAATAATTTTGGTGGAAACACAAACTCAACAGTTCTCACAGTCCAAAGGCTGGATCAGAACTTGGCAGTTCGCCTCTCCTTGGGGGCTCTAGTGCATGCCTGTGCATACAAACAGGTGTTGAGCCACTTCTTAAATGCCTTCAGCAACGGTGCCCTGATTCCTGAGTATTTAGGTCAGATGTTTTTAAGAATCTGATCATTATCATTTCAGTGCCACGTCGGTATATTGCTGTAAGTTAGGGTCTGCAATTCTTCCCACTTTTCACTGCTCCTCATTCTCTCTTGTGTAGTTCCTCACATACCTGTTCTCCAAAGAGAACACCATCTGGGATTCCTCCCTGGACCAAGTGTGTCCTGAGAATATGAACAACCCCCTGTCTCACTACTGGATCTCCTCTTCGCACAACACGTAAGCATGAAGGGCATTTATGCATGTGTCTGGTTTGCCTGCTTTAATTGGGCCCTGGGAATGCTGGAGTTCTTGAAACCTCTGCCCAAAAAGAGGTCTTTTGAACTGGCTTCACACATCAGATAAAAGTGTATTATTTAACAATCTCTTTCCCGAATGAGATCCAGGCGTTTATTTTGCAGGAAAATGTATTTTTCCTGCCATTGAAAAGTGTGTGAAAGTCAGCGCAAGTGACTGTACTAAATGTGAAACAATGCTCATTGGAGCAACGGAATGAAAGTTTCCCATGTTGCTTTGATTAGGCTTGAATTGACTGACTGAATGAGTAAGAAGTATTTATCCGGTCAACAGAGGAGAACGAGCCCTTTTGATATGACTGTATCGATTTATTTATGTAATCACCATAAAAAGTGTGTTCGTGTGTTAAGACAGTCCCTGACATGTTAATCCTGTGTGGCTGTGTGTTTTGTGTACATACTTGACAATGTGTGCTTATTTTTAGCTACCTGACAGGAGACCAGTTTTCCAGTGAATCGTCCTTGGAGGCATACGCACGCTGTCTGAGGATGGGCTGTCGCTGTATTGAATGTAGGAAAACACACACACACACACACACACACACACACACACACACACACACACACACACACACACACACAC